ACAACACGCATTGCGTCTTGTTAAAACAGATTTTTCATAATTAAAACTTGATTGAAATTCGAAATTATATAAATTCCAAAAAAAACAAAATTGATATATATTGTTTCAAAACATTTTGAGAAATATTCTTTAAACATATGAAACATTGTTTTAAAAAAAATGAAATATTGCTTTCAAACGTCGGAATTCAAATGAAAACATTGTTTCAAAATAAAATAAAAATTCGATCCGAATAGGTGGGATAAGAAACCTCGATTTCAATCTTCACCCTAATTTAATAATGTAAAACTCGATAAATTGTTTCAAAATATTTTTAGAAGTATTGTCTAAAATAATAATATAATGTTTTAAAACCGGGATTTCTTGAATCCAAATGAAAATTATTGTTTTAAATAAAATAAAAATCTGATCGTAATAGGCGGAGTAAGAAAACTCCGTTCCAATTTTCACCCTTATTTAATAATCTAAAACTCGATTGTTTTTTCAAAATAAATTCAGAAATATTGTTTAAAAAAATCATAATATTGTCTAAAAACTAATATTGTGTTTTAAAATCTGAATTTTTGGAAATGGAATGAAAATATTATTTTAAAATGAAATAAAAATTCGATCAAACTAGGCAGTATAAGAAAACTCATTTCCAATTTTCACCCATATTGAATGATTTAAAACTCGACATATTGTCTCACAATTGGGATTTTTGGAATTGACTAGAGGTGAAAATTGGATGGATATTTCTAATTCCCCAATTCCTATCGGGTTTTTTATTTTGGTTTGAAACGATATATTCTAATTGAATTCCAAAAATGCCGATTTTGGAACAATATTTTAAATTTTTAAACTATATTTTGATTTTTTAAACAATATTTCCGAAACGAGTTGATTTTTTTGGAATTTACTTGATTTCGATTTTATATTAAATTTTAATTAAAAATAATAATTATAAAAAATATGTTTTAACAAGACGCAATGCGTGTTGTTGAAAGTCCATTTTCATGTAGTGTTGCAAATTGAAGGCATGTGAGAGGCACATGCCATTTTCCATCCAACTTAACTGCAAAAACTAATCGGCGGACTCAATTCTGTTAAAAAATGGCATGATTAAGGACTACTATTGTACTCCAAAATG